CAATTTCTGCTTCAATTATAGGGGGGACTATAAGAAAAATCAATGTATTCATTTTAGTTGGAAAGATGTTACTGATCTTTAGGACATCTTCAGATGGTCGGGGTCAGAAAGAGGCTCATGTGAGGGGCATCTGACAGAGCTGTAAGGAGGTCAGGGTCCAGAGCCTGTTGGACTCAGTGTGTTGTACTGTAACGTGATCCCCTGTAAAATTTCCTTTGTGTTATTAGCTGAACTAAGGAGGTCTTGGGACCGCACGTTTGCGTCTTATGTGAATATGACTGAGGCATTCTTGAGTCTGGTGGGCTTTCCTGGTGGCTCAGTGGTAAAGAATCCATCTGCCAGTGCAGGAGACACAGGTTCAATCCCTGAGCCAAGAAGATCCCCTGGAGAAGGAAATGGCAACCCACTCCAGTATCCTTGCCTGGGAAATCCCATGGACAGAGGAGCCTGGAGGGCCGCAGTCCATGGGGTCACAAAACCAGTCAGACATGACTTAGCCACTAAACAACAATAGCAAAATCCTTGAGTCTGATGCAGTTCAGAAAATGTAAGTGCTTGGTAATACAGGAGCGTATCTACAGCCTTATCCACAATTGCCATTCAGCTCTATTCTGTGCTCCTGAACCAAGGTAACATTATTTTGATTTCTAAATGTATTTTTCTTAATAATTAAAGTAGATGTACAATGTATGTTCAGTAGACCACAAACAGGGTATTTTAGTTAAGTTATATTCTGTGTAAGCCAGAGTAACTTATCGACACCCTGATATATGTGTTTGTAAGCATATGTCTAATTTTCTCCCTACATCTTTGTATAGTGAAAATGTAGACTTTTTTTTAAACAATGTCCATGAATGTAGGATTCTAATTAAAGATATGTAATTTGAATATATGTCACTCTCCTTTTAATTTTTAACAGGTGGCTAAACCCCTTGTTTAAAATTGGTCACAAACGGAAATTAGAAGAAGATGACATGTACTCGGTGCTTCCGGAAGATCGCTCCCAGCACCTTGGAGAAGAGCTGCAAGGGTGAGCACAGGCAGAAGGGAGTACAGAGTGAGAATTTCTCCATGGGGCTAAAGGCTTGTGGGGAGGGGCCTTTGCCTTCCTCTCGGGTCTTCTGAGCCTCCTTCCCTGACGCTGAACCCTCACCCCTTCACGCTGAACCCGGGCTTAGCCCACTTTGGAGGCTGGGGGAGCCTGTGTTCCCCATGTGAGTGGACATGGAGGGAGCCCACAGCCATGGCCCTGGAGACCGAGCTCTGTCCCCAGAGATGGGGTCCCTGGAGGACAGTGTCTGCCTTTCTGAGCTGCTCATGACCTGTGAGTTCAGCAAAGCTTAGCAGGAACTTGTTTGTAGAATCTGGGACTTTTCTCTGAAGACCTGGTCTGGTGCTTTTCCTGGTGCTTCAGAGTCTGAGTCTGCTCCGCTCATCTTTCGGGAGCCCTGTGAGCAGTTAGCCAGCATCTATGGGGCCCCACAGAGCGGCCTGTAGTGAAGGCTCATCTTCTGCTCTGTCCCCTCCCCTGTCTTCTATGACAGGGCTGGTCTTCACTGTGCTTTGTTTCTCTCTGCAGGTACTGGGATCAAGAAGTGTTGAGAGCCCAAAAAGATGCACGGGAGCCTTCTTTAATGAAAGCAGTCATGAAGTGTTACGGAAAATCCTACTTAGTTCTGGGAATGTTAACATTTCTTGAGGTAAAAGCTTTTCCACACAGTGCATTGATTTTGAGTATATGTGGGTCAGTCCTGAGATGGATGGACTGAGGCAGGGAGAGGACAGTGGTTTAAGGTCTAAGGGTAAATCTCATCTAGGAATCATGATGTAGATCAACAGTTGTATTTATCTTTCGATTAGACAGATTCTTAAAGGACTTGACCTCTGGAGATTACTGTTTTTCTTTTAACTTAAAACAGAGTGTAATGGAAGGATAGCAGCACTGGAAAGATATTTTATACCATGTTAGGATGGTTTTGGTGCTCAATATAAATATTGAGTGATCTTACAACCTTAGGGAATATGTGTCCTGTTGTTTGGAGGAAGTAAACTTCAGACAACAGTGGTCAGGAGATGGCAACAAACATAACAGATTCCAAAACAAAGGCCAGAAGCAGAGTTTTAATAAAGCATTCAGACAGTAATTTGAAGTAGAGGATTTATGTGGCAACAACAGACCTATGTTCAACAACATGGAACTGAACATTATTTTTCATATAAAATTAAAAGCACATTGTATTTCCTTCCTGACCACTTGTCCAGTCTCTATCTCTTCGAGAGAGACAAGCTTCATCTAAATTATTTCATCTGATTGATCACTGTCATTTATAACTTTATTGCTGCTTCTGTCTTGGGTATTCCTTTAGAAAAGGTGTATGGATTCATTACATATTCTAATGTATTGTCTATAGATTGTAAGATAAAGTCAAACATGTACTGAGGATACTTTTTAAGTTGATCTGTCTTTATACTTAGAAATGTCTCTTAATAGTAGGCTTTCCTGGAGGAGAGTTCTGACAAAATGTGGTCCACTGGAGAAGGGAATGGCAAACCACTTCAGTATTCTTGCCTTGAGAACCCCATGAAAAGTATGAAAAGGCAAAAAGATAAGACATGCAAAGATGAACTCCCTAGGTTGGTAGGTGTCCAATATGCTACTGGAGATCAGTGGATAAATAACTCCAGAAAGAATGAAGAGACAGAGCTAAAGCAAAGACAACACCTAGTTGTGGATGTGACTGGTGATGGAAGTAAAGTCTGATGCTATAAAGAGCAATATTGCATAGGAACCTGGAATGTTAGGTCCATTAATCAAGGCAAATTGGAAGTGGTCAAGAGGAGATGGCAAGATTGAACATTGACATTTTAGGAATCAGAAAACTAAAATGGACTGGAATGGGTGAATTTGACTCAGATGACCATTATATCTACTACTGTGGGCAGGAATCCCTAAGAAGAAATGGAGTATCCATCATAGTCAACAAAAGAGTCCGAAATGCAACACTTGGGTGCAATCTCAAAAACGGCAGAATGAACTCTGTTTCCAAGGCAAACCATTGAATATCACAGTAATCTAAGCCTATGCCTTGACCAGTAATGCTGAAGAAGCTGAAGTTGAATGGTTCTATGAGGACCTACAAGACCTTCTAGAACTAACACTCAAAAAAGATGTCCTTTTCATTATAGGGAACTGGAATGCAAAAGTGGGAAGTCAAGAGATATCTGGGGTAATGGGAAAATTTGGTCTTGGAATACAGAATGAAGCAGGGCAAAGGCTAATAGAGTTTTGTCAAGAGAACGCATTGGTCATAGCAAACACCCTCTTCCAACAACACAAGAGAAGACTCTACACATGGACATCTACATATGGACAGATGGTCCATATGAAATCAGATTGATTATATTCTCTGCCGCCAAAGATGGATAAGCTGTATACAGTCAGCAAAAGAAGACCGGGAGCTGACTGTGGCTCAGATCATGAAGTTGTTATTGCCAAAATCAGACTTAAATTGAAGAAAGTAGGGAAAACCATTAAACCATTCAGATATGACTCAAATCAAATCCCTTAACAATTACACAGTAGACATGAGAAATAAATTCAAGGGATTAGATCTGATAGAGTGCCTGAGGAACTATGGACGGAGGTTCGTGACATTGTACAAGAGGCAGGGGCCAAGACCATCCCCAAGAAAAAGAAATGTAAGAAGGCAAAATGGTTGTCTGAGAAGGCTTTACAAATAGCTGTGAAGAGAAGAGAAGAGAAGCTAAAGGCAAAGGAGAAAAGGAAAAATATACACATTTGAACGCAGAGTTCCAAAGACTATCAAGGAAAAATAAGAAAACTTTCATCAGTGATCAATGCAAAGAAAGAGATGAAAACAATAGAATGGGGAAGACTAGAGATCTCTTCAAGAAAATCAGAGATACCAATGGAACATTTCATACAAAGATGGGCACAATAAAGGACAGAAATTATATGGATCTAACAGAAGCAGAAGATGTTAAGAAGAGGTGGCAAGAATACATAGAAGAACTATACAAAACAGATCTGCATGACTCAGATAATCACAGTGGTGTGTTCACTTGCCTAGAGCCAGACATTCTGGAAGGTGAAGTCATATGGGCCTTAGGAAGCATCACTAAGAACAAAGCTAGTGGAAGTGGTGGAATTCCAGTTGAGCTATTTCAAAGCCCAAAAGATGATGCTATGAAAGTGCTGCCCTCAATATGCAAGCAAATTTGGAAAACTCAGAATTGGCCACAGGACTGGAAAAGGTCAGTTTTCATGCCAATCCCAAAGAGAGGCAAGGCCAAAGAATACTCAAACTGCCACACAATTGCACTCATCTCACATGCTAGTAAAGTAATGCTCAAAATTCTCTAAGCCATGCTTCAACAGTCCATGAATCAAAATCACTGCAGATGGTGACTGCAGCCATGGAATTAAAAGATGCTTGCTCCTTGGAAGAAAAGTTATGACCAACCTAGATAGCATATCAAAAAGCAGAGATATTACTTTGCCAACAAGGTCCATCTAGTCAAAGCTATGGCTTTTCCAGTAGTCATGTATGGATGTGAGAGTTGGACTATAAGGAAAGCTGAGTGCAGAAGAATTGATGCTTTCAAACTGTGGTGTTGGGGAAGACTCTTGAGAGTCCCTTGAACTGCATGGAGATCCGACCAGTCCATCCTAAAGGAGATCAGTCGTGAGTGTTTATTGGAAGGACTGATGCCGAAGCTGAAGCTCCAATGCTTTGTGCACCTGATTCGAAGAACTGAGTCACTGGAAAAGATCCTGATGCTGGGAAAGATTGAAGGTGAGAGGAGATGGGGGTGACAGCGGATGAGATGGCTGGATGTCATTACCGACTCAATGGACATGAGTTTGAGTAAACTCTGGGAGTTGGTGATGGAAAGGGAGGTCTAGAATGCTGCAGTCCATGGGGTCGCAAAGAGTCGGACATGACTGTGTGACTGAACTGAACTGAACTGAACTGAACTTTCTGGTGCTCAGAAGAATCTGCCTGCAGTTCAGGAGACCCTTGTTTGATCCCTGTGTCTGGAAGATACCCTGGAGAAGAAAATGGCAACCCACTCCAGTATTCTTTCCTGAAGAATTCCATGAACACAGGAGTCTGGTAGTGTCCAGTCCATGGGGTCCCAAAGAGTCAGACATGACTGAACAACTCTTACTTACTCAAATTTGGACTGGAGCCCAGAATAACATAAGACATTTGACAGTTGCTCAGCAAGTAATTATTGACTTTCCCAGGTCACATATGATAAATGCTTTCCTAGGAAAGGATCGTCCCCTTCCTGTGGAACAGAACCTGGGGTCCTGGGAGCTGCCAGAGCTCCCAGCATCACTCCCTTCCCTGGGTTGCCCCCTCCCCATGGGCCAGGTCAGCCAGAACAGAGCCCCCCATGGAGAGGAGCTCCAGCTTCACCATGAATTGTGGAGAACTCATGCACCCTCCATTAAGGTTTCTATCCCGGGTGAGTTCTCATGAGTCCTGCTTGTCTGGAAACCCTGGGGCCTCGTGTAGGTGTGGCTCATGCCAGGTGCCTAGTTGGATGAGTGGCCTCTGGGTTTATTGTTGGATCACATCCTGGAGCAGCTTTTTCTCTGCTGCCCCTGGTTCTCTAGTTTCTCTTTGGTACCAGATGATAAAGAGGCTTGAAGGCAAGTGGGTCTCAAAGCATAGCCCATGTGGATTTTCTTGCTGTCCTGGGCTGTCAGCTCCTTAGGTGCGGTCCCTAAGCCTCGAATGGATCCCATCCTAATATGAGTCCCAGGTCTTGGCTGTGGCAGTTCATAGGAGAAGCAGACATAGAGGGAGAGGCTACAGAATCTGTGGTTCTTCTTGAGAGGGAATCCGCCCCACTGTGGTGCTGGGAGTGTTGATTTCCAAGTTTTCCAGCCCCGGTAATACTTCCTGCTGGGGATCCAGGAAGGCCAGGCCTGGGGCTGCATAAGGTGCAACTGGTAGAGCCCTGGCCCCTCTTTCAGGAGCTTGGTTGTTGGGTGGTCATGGCAGAGAAGAGGGAGCAGAGGACCTTGAATGTAGGGGCTCCTCTGTGTGGTAGCACTGCTAGGACTAGTAGCGGTAGCAGTACTAGTTACTTAAATTGATTTTATGAAGCAAATTTCCATGTTGTGATCCATCTGTACTGATTGTTGGTCTTTATATTTTAGATGGTGGAAGATCTAAACTCAGCCCAGGATTTTCTAAAACACAAACATGTTTCCTTTGTGACCTCCAGCCCTCTTTCAATTCCCCAGGTACACAGAATGCCCTGTGGATCATCCATGATCCCAAGCAGTGTGCTCTTTCCACCCACAGCACAAGCAGGGCCTCCCAGGTACTCCTGGCGGCACCAGTGGGAAAAAGCAGGGTGATGCCAGTCCAGGGTGAGGCTCTTAGGATTCTGAGATATGAAAACCTCTGTCCTGTGAGAACTGAGGAGTATCTCTACCACTCGGAGAAATAGGTACCAGGATGTGGAGTCCTTGCAGGTCAATGCTAATTAGAACAGAACAGGCAGAGAGTTCCCAGCACCCTGGCCTGTGTGCACCTCCACGGGGACCCTGGGTGGGGAGGACAGGTTTCCGCCTGTCCAGGGCCCTCAGGGTGGAGAGGAGGAGCCTGAAGTTTCTGCCTGGGCCAGAGACACAGAGACCACCTCTCCAAGTCATCAG